TGGTTTTCTCTTTGTCCTGCTGGTCTGCCAGTGATGAAAGCAGTGTGTGTGTGTGTGTGTGTGTGTCTGTGTCTTTGTCTTTTCTCCAGGGAGGACCTTTTCATTTTCTAGATTTTGGTTCATTAGGTTTTCTTTGTATCTTTGCTCTTAGATGGAATAAAGAATGCAAAACAACTATGGTTCTCCATCTTGGTCTTGCTGGTAGGGTGGGAATCATGTTCTCTCATAATTTCCTGCATCCTGAGCAGAGCAGCAGTTCTCTAATGATTATTTGAATTCACTTTAATTGGAACATATCCTATTTCTGACTGTATCATTGTTTGCTTGCTCTATTTGAAACATCTTTTTGGTGGACAGAAGAAAGAAGTTATAAAGACTTCACCCTAAGTAAAATTAGGCAACATACTTTTATCATCTCTGGAAAAATGTCTGATTCATAGATGTACTTTATATTTTTTCCCCAGAAACCATCATGAAAAACTGATTACAGTTGCTGCATTTCTCTAACCTTAAAAAGTCCTTTGTTATGGCATTGGCATGTTCCCCTTCTCATAACAAAAGTTAGTGCACAACTTGTGCTGATTTGTTTTTTTTCTGATTTCCTTTTCAACATTCCTCTTAGAAGAGCATTATAATATTCTTGATTATTACTATCATAAATTTTGGTAGCTTCTCAGGTTTTTTCCCTTAACAACTTCATTTACAATAATGTCTCTCCAGACTTGTCTTGCGATTGTTTCTCTCTACTTTTTTCTTTTTGTATATTGTATTTTATGAATTTAAGAGCTCAGTGATCTATCAGATAATATACCAGGAAAACATGTGTTTTCCACATGCTTTGATAGAACTTAGATAAAAATACAATTGAAAGAGAATTATAGATATGGAGTAAAATACAGATAATAGCTCCATAGACAGTTTAATGCTAAGGCCTAAGGTAGTGCCGGATGCATAATAATACATATTTTTTTTAATGAGTGAATGAAAAGAAATTGAGATGCTGATTTAAGAACAAGAACTTGTTTATTCATATTAAATGTTTCTTCAGATTTCAATTCCCAACCTTATGCCTTAGAGAGAATAATTACGGTTTTATGGAAAGAAAGACTATACTGGTAACTTGTTCTCTTTTACCTAGTTTATTTTTCCTTCATGAAGTTTATACTGTTGCCTTTGTGGTTACCAAGAATCAGTTTTGACTCACTGCATGTGGTCAGTTGTTCAGAGGTTAGCACAGTATCTGGCACTTGGGTAGGTGCTCGGGTTATAGTTTGGTTGAGATGAATTATGAGATGAATAAGAGAATAGCAGTGTTCTCAGCCGAAGCAGTGTGATGCCCATTGCAGCAATATTGGCTCAAGAACCCAAATCGGAACTTTGTCAGTTTTAATTCCAGCTCCATTGGAGTCACTAATGTTACCTTAGCTTTTCCATGAAATGAAGATGGAATTGCTGTTTCTTTCTTTATTTAAATGTGAATAATCCAACACACTGTTGTAAAATTTTCTGTTCTTTACTATTCTTATATTCACCATGTTGTCATTTATATCCATTAAAGTTTATTAATAAAACATGTCCTTTGTTTCAAACACTACAGAATTTTTAGAGTTTAGTTTAACAGTGAGATGCTATTAATACTGCAGTTTGAAATGTGTCCAGTGTTTCCTAAAGTCTCATTTTCTGCTTAATGATATCCTAGCAATTGATTATTAAAGAAGAAAAGAAACTCGAGAAATTTAAAATGGTTGAAACATACTAGTGCACGTTTTATTTTTTCCTATACTAATGTTTTAGAGGAAGGGGTCAGTAAATAGAGGATGAATACAAGCAGTCTTCGTGAGGGGATGGGAACCCAGTCTTACATAATGGTAGTGGCCGATCCCTTTAATTTTAAAGTAATGTTTTCTAAGTGTGAACTGTTATGAAGAATGTGTGGCATAATGAATTAATGCTCAATGGTGGAAATGTTTTGAGTCACCATTTGCCGTTCACATTTGCCAAAATGTAAACAAGTAGAATTCTTTCCTTGTGGATGATGCAGTTTTCCTTAATCTCTCATCTTTCATCAGGTTTGCTTGTTCTCTGCTGTATTCCACAAAGAGCTAGGTGGCTCAAGTTTGAGTCATTGTGCTTGGAGGCAAGACATATAATAATACTTCAGTTTTTATGCCACATTGGATTTTTTTTTTTTTTTTTTTTTGAGACAGAGTCTCACTCTTTTTGCCCGGGCTAGAGTGCCGTGGCATCAGCCTAGCTCACAGCAACCTCAAACTCCTGGGCTCAAGTGATCCTCCTGCCTCAGCCTCCCGAGTAGTTGGGACTACAGGCATGTGCCACCATGCCTGTAGTCCGGCTAATTTTTTCTATATATTTTTAATTGTCCGATTAATTTCTTTGTATTTTTAGTAGAGACGGGGTCTCGCTCTTGCTCAGGCTGGTTTCGAACTCCTGAGCTCAAACAATCCGCCCGCCCCAGCCTCCCAGAGTGCTAGGATTACAGGCATGAGCCAGCGCGCCTGGCCTACATTGGATTTTTATCCAGATGTAAATGGCTGTTTGATCTGAAATATAACAATTGCCTTTTCCCTCTCCCTGAGTATTTATAATTCTAATTAATAAATCTTTACACTCTTCACCATTCAACACCCATTTCTGTGTTCCAAGTTAGAAGAATTGGTCATTCTTTCTCCTATTCAACATCTCTATTTGCTGCTCTAGGTGTGACTTGGTTAAAAATATCCAACCATCTACCCCCAGTTAGTATTTCGTCTCACATATGAACATCAGTGGAAAACCTTAGGGGAAAACAAAAAGGAACTAGAGAGTATAAGGAATTTCCTTAGGCTCATTGTCTGATTTTGTGAGTTGTAAGTATATTAAGTCCTTATTTGCTAATTGTTTTTGGCTTTCACTGAATCCCTTTAGTAGTTATCAATGCTATGTTATAATTGATCCATCTTTTATTCTTTATTCTTGGAGAGACAGCTTTCTTACTCATTATTTTGTTGCCTGTAGCATGTAGGAGCACTTCCAGAATATTTCTCCAGCCCATTCTTTTTATTTTTTTTGATTTTTCTATATCATCCTTCTATCCTCCTAGTCTTTTAACATCTCAGCCAGCTCTTGCCTGTCTTCAGTGCATTTTCCACCCAACAGCCAGAGTGTTCTTGTATAGTTTTAATCCGATCATGTGATTCCCCTACTAAAAACCTTTACCGATGTGTAGGACAGATCATATCCTCACTGTGGGTCCAGGAGGACCCGGGTCTGCCGCCCCTACTTTCCACTGTGCCACCCTCCGACTGGCTCACAGGACCAGTGAGGGGTCCATCCTAGCTCCTCCAGAGTGTACTCTTCCTCTTCTCTGTACCTTCTCAGCTTAGGGGACAGCTCTGAATTTAAAAAAAAACTTTTTTTTAGAGACTACTTTTTTTTAAAAAGCACTTTTAGATCCATAGCAAAATTTAGAGGATGGCACAGAGACTTTCCCTATCCCCTACCCCTACATGGGCATAGTTCCCCCTATTATCAACGTCTTCTACCAGAGTGGTCCATTTGTTGAAATTGATGAACCTATGTTGACACATCATTATCGCCCAGAGTCAATGGTTTATATTAGGGCTTATTCAGGGTTGTACATTATATAGGTTTGGATAAATGTGTAATGACATGTATCCATTATTATAGTATCACACAGTATTTTCACTGCCTTAAAAATCCTCTGTGGTTCACCTGTTCATTGCTTTCCCTCCAATCCCTGACAACTACTGATCTTTTCACCGTCTCTATAGTTTTACCTTTTCCAGAATGTTAAATATTTGGAACCATACAGTATGTAGACTTTTTAGATTGGCTTCTTTCATTGAGTAATGTACATTTAAGTTTCCTCCATGTCTTTTCATGATTTGAAAGCTCATTTCTTTTAGCGCTGAATGCTATTTCGTTGCAAGGGCGTACCAGAGTTTATTAATCCATTTACCTACTGAACGACATCTTGGTTGCTTCTAAGTTTTGGCAGTTATGAATAAAACTGCTATAAATATCCATATATAGGTTTTTGTGTGGACATATGTTTTCAGCCCCTTGGGGTAAGCATAGGAATATGATTGCTGGGTCCTATAGTAAGAGTATTTTACTTTTGTAAGAAATGACCAACTGTTTTCCAAAGCATGTGTACCATTTTCATTCCCAGCAGCAATGAATAAGAGTTCCTGTTGCTCCATATCCTCATCAACACTTGTTGCCGTCAGTGTTTTGGATTTTGGCTATTCTAATAGGTGTGTTGTGGTATCTCATTTTAATTTGCACTTCCCTGCTGATATAGGATGGGGAGCATCTTTTTTGAGGCTTATTCACTATCTATATGTCCATGTGTATATACTCTATGACTCAACAATTCCATTTCTGGGTATATACTCAAAAGAATTGAAAGGAAGGACTTGAACAGATATTTGTACATCTATGTTCATAGAAGCATTACTCATAATACTCCATGGGTGTATGAATAGATAAACAAAATGGGTCATATACACACAATGGGATGCTAGCCTTAAAAAGGAAGAAATTCTGACACATGCTCCAACATGAATGAACCTTAAATACATTATGCTAAGTGAAATAAGTTGGTCACAAAAAGATAAAGAGTGTTTAATTCAGTCATGTGTGGTACCTAGAGTAGTGAAACTCATAGAGACAGAAAATAGAATGCGGGTTGGCAGGGGCCAGGGAGAGGGGCAGTGGAGAGTTACTGATTAATGGATACAAAGTTCAATTTTGCAAGACGAAGAAAGTTCTGGAGGTCGATGGTTGCACAGCAGTGTGAATGCGTTTAGTGCCACTGAACTGTACACTTAAAAATGGTTAACATGGTAAATTTTATATGTATTTTACCACAGTTAAAAATTAAAAAAAAATTACCATAGTAAAATCTTTGGAAATAGCAAGAAAGGTTTTGTTATAGCAGCCAAGGGGTAACCTGATCTGTTACTGGTGTCTTTCAGGCCCGGCGTTTCCTTGACTCTGCAGGCGTTTTCAGAAGAGGAAAGGAAGCAGTGGTTGGAAGCTCTGGGTGGAAAAGAATCTGTAAGAACAATCAGTGGTTGAGCTTTATTTCAAATCCTTTAGAGTTGACTTGCATTCCTTTTTATGTTATTTTTGTTTTATAGCATTTGAGAAAAGTTCCCTGCTGAAACAGGTATTAGAATTCATCTTGGAAGCATTCAACATTCTAGTAATTTGGCTTGGGCAAGCAGCAGCCACACATAAGACTGGTGTATCATTAGTTTTTATTTCTGATTTTTCTTGAGTTTGCGACTCTGATTTGCTTCATTTCAGAAAGTCATCTAAATTCTCAATTTCTTCTTTCCTACTTGATGGTACTTTAGGCGATGAACACAATAAATGCTTGGAATGCGTTTTGATCTCTGTGAAGATGGAACAGTAAATATGAGACACTACAGGCAGTCTTATTAAATATAAGTGACTGCTGTAATTATTTTGCTCGATTTAACAATTTATGGTTTAGTCTAATGGTTTACAGTATGCAGTATTATGTAGCCTTAGTGAATGGGCCTCTGTATTCAGATTGCTTTGAGGAGTAAATGAAAGGTAGCCATATGGATCTGGAGACACTGGAATTCAGTCTGTTCGCCACTTTATCCAAGTACTACTTTCCTTAGTGGCCTTTGGGAGTTGAGGATTTGGCAGATCATGCATTGAATTGGGGATTTAGTGAGAATAATTATAGAAATGCCATAGAACCAATTTAAATACACTCTACTTCAAGTATTGTGACTCTAAATAAACTGCCAATGCAGGTGGTAAGTGGGCTAATCTGGAAAGCATTTGCCAATTCAGCAGGATTTAGAAAAAAAGGAAAGAACATGGTTTCTAAGTAGAAGAGGGTGTCGCATACAGTAAAAAGAGAGAGGTTTCAGAATAGAGCTTGTGAAATGGGCAAAGGATAATGTTTTCTCATGGTGAGAGTATGGGAAATGGGAGCAAGGAGGCTGGTCCGCGATCTTGACATGGAGTTTGAAAACCCAAATTAAAATATATTAATCACTCTTGCAAAAAAAAAAAAAAGTGATCAGATTTTTTGTGTCATCTTAACCCATATTTGAGTTGCATTTAGCCTCTGTAGTTTTACTTCTATTTATCTTTAGTTTGTCCTTGAAATTTTTAGCTGGGAGTCAGTAGTATTTACAGTGCTTGTGATTACTCAGAGCCAAAACAGCTTCTATTAATCTTTAGTAAAGGCAATGCACTAACTAGCATATATCTCCCCAGAGATTCAGATACTTTGGAAAGTGAGTTTACATGGTAAAAAGATCACATGAGTAAGTCATTGGGAAATAAGTCTGTTGCCAGTGGAAGTGTAACCTTGAAGACATATGTAACCTCTCTTTTAGAGTAAAGAGCCAAATGATTAACTCAGATATACAGACAAAAGCAAGTATGCAGAAAGGTAATATTCAGCTATGTATTTATATGGGGACACTTAAAATTGCATATTTTTGGCAGGTGCTGTAAGCCTTGTAAAAATGGGCCAACATTAGAATTCTTAGAAGCTGTCCAGAATTATCACCTTGCTATTTCAGATGTAGTTATTTAAGTTATGGGCAGGGGTTCTCTCTTTAAGTAAATGCCAGATGTAAGAAATAATGGTGAAAAACAAATGCACTTCATCTTATTGATTAGAATACAGCAGTTTCTTTGTCATCCTATAACTCTAAACTGAATGTTTCAAATTTATGTAAACTTTTAATAAGTTTCTTAAGGACCATGTGCCCTTCATCTTATCTTTGCTAGTTTAGCATACCTCAGTAAGAGAAAAAAGCACTCTCAGAGATGCCCCTTTTTGTTTGTCCTTCCATCTGAGCGTATGATAGTATGCAAGTAAGTAGGAAAACACAACACTGTTTCTCCACATTCTCACACAGAACACTTCAGACACCGGATGTGTGGGTTTTTACATTTATGGACCAATTCTCTGACACCAGATGGGTGTCCTACAATTCAATTTAATTCTGACACTACCCGGCGTCAGTGTCAGATCCCACGCATTAAGGGCTCAGTCCCATGTGACTGCCTGCACTTCAGATGCCAGTCGCAAGTCTGGACCTCTCATACTTCACACTAACTGGCTGCAAATTGGAGATTCCCATGACCCTCTCCTCAGGTTCCATACCTTGCTAAAGTGCCTCACAGAACTCAGGGAAACATTTTATTTATGTTTACCAGAATGTTATAAAAGATGCAGCACAGGAACAGCCAGAGGGAAGAGATGTGTGGGACAACGTATGAAGTGAGGTTGAGATGTGTGCTCGGAGCTTCCGCCCTCTGTGGGTGCACCGCCCTCCCAGCACTTTGATGTGTTACCAACCCGGAAGCTCATCAAATCTCATTGTTTAAGAGTTTTTGTGGAACTTAATCTCCAGCTGGGTGCAGTGGCTGGCACCTATAGTCCCAGCTACTCGGGAGGCTGAGGCAGGAGGATCACTTGAGCCCAGGAGCTTAAGGCTGCAGTGAGCTATGATGATGCTACTGCACTCCAGCCTGGGCAACAGAGTGAGACCTGTCTCTCATAAAAGCAAGAAGAAAAGGAGTTCAGCCACCTTAAAAACAAAAAACCATCTCCAGCTCACTTTCCAAGAGGTTGATGGATGGGGCTGAAAGTCCAAACCCTCTAATCACTGGTCTTTCTGGGGTCCAGCCCCATGCTGAGGCTACCAGGGGGCCTATCCTAAGTTACCTAATTAGCATAAACTCAGGTGTGACCTGGTGGGGAGCATTATGAATAATAAAAGACATTGCTACTCAGTAAATTCCAAGGATTTAGGATCCCTGTGCCAGGAAGCAGGGACAAAGAGCAAATATATTTCTTA